TGATATAGTAAAACAGAACTCTCCCTAGTCTTGATTGGTAAATAAAATATGTGATTAAATAAAATATGATAACTAAAAAAAAATTACAATTAAAATAAATTGCAATAATTGAAAATGCAATTATGTTACAAAAAAAAAAACATGATTAGGTGATAAATTAAGTCATGTATTGTTTTAAATAATTATAAATTGCTACATTTTTTCTTTTATTTAAATAATTAAAAATACATTTTTTCTTTAACCTTGGTGGATTGAGAAATATACAGTCAACTCCATATAGCTACACTATAGTTACGCCATACGAACTTGCTCTTGTTCGCTGGTATGATATTAAAACAACGGAACCTGAACTTTACGGTTGCCCGCAACTATATTACACCGAAGAATATAACACTATATTGATTTGATCCATCAATGCCGAAGTACATATAATATCTTTGGCGTCAAAAAACAAAAAATAGAGAGACTATATACTCTATGATGTGACTAAAGGGGAGGTGATTTAGTGGAGTCTGCTAATGATAGTCTAATCATTCAGCTGATATACAAGCAATTGAGACCATGTCTGGTGCAGCTATACCTGGTGCTATTCCAAATTTGCCAATGGAATTGCAGAATTTTTACAACAGCTTGAGTTGATGATAGTTGTAATTTATTTTGTTTTATATTCACTATTGAAATATTCACTTGTTTAGCTATTTCATTTTACTAATTATTTTTCTTAAATTTTTTGAATTTATTTAATAGGAGACTTGCTGATTTAGCCATTTTATTTATCATTCATTTGCTTAATTATCATAAGCAATACAAAATACAAGAATAAAAAATTCAAATATATTCATATGCTTTCATACAATATAACGTATTGAAAGTATAATGGAATTATACTGGTTACTTAATGGGATATTCATTCATTACGCGATATAAATTTTTACCAACAACTCTCTGTGATATGATTGCAGGCTTATTAGTGTACTATAAAATTGAACTAAGTTCAACAATATTACTTGTGATTGACCTAAAGAATGGTTGGTTTTCCAGATTTAAAGAATATATTCTGAGACTAAGAATCTTTCCAATGCCTCTTTTAATTCATTAAAATGGAAAAGGCAAATATATTATTGGAGTATATGCATTATTTGTCTTTTTAACATATTATGGCTTCAATACTCACATATACAGTACTTGTAATCAGAGATAATAAACAACTAAGTTTAATATTCCAAAAAGGTCAATGATTTGATTGATTTAGTATTATACTGTATATTTTTTAATGTATTAATGTTACATTTTTTAATGTATTAATGTAATTTTCTTATATTTTTATCACTTATTGATTGTTTCAACTTATCTAGTTAGCAGTTAGATGTATACTTTTAATGAAAAAATTTAATAAAGACAATAAAGACAATAACAATAAAAACATTAATTTGTTGGATAATTTTAATTATCTGTTTTTTAAGTTAAATTAAAAGAAATGATTTTGATGGAGAATATGACGATACAATAGAAGTTACAACATATGATTTAAAATTATTCATGTAGTAAAAAGAGAGAAAGTGCAACAAATTGACTTAATGACGAATTATTGAGAAAAAAGGTATTCTATTGAAAATTATCGGACAAGATAGGATAAATGTGTTGAATATGAGAAAATAGAATAAATAAAACTGTTTTACAAATTCAAAAAATTAGGTAAGTAAAAAATAATAGCAGAATTTGTTTACTTCATAATTATATTAATATTTCAGCATACAATAAATAAGTTTCACTAACTATTTATTGTTATATATATAATAAATTTGCTTCGTTCAAATTCTTTTTTAGTGAGATGAAAATATGAAATGCATAATATTCTAGATTAATAACCCCAGATTATTTTTATTATAACTAAGTTAATCAAAAGTTATTGAGATTATTTAGTCGACTCATATTTAATAGCATAAAGCATAACAATATCTTACTTGAAATTTCCAATTATAAAGTATACCTAAGAATATTTAATCCCCTAACTTCTTAAGACAAACACCTTGATTTTCTAATGATCTAATAATTTCCCTTTCTTCTTTTGACCAATAAAACTCATGTTGTTTAATTTCCAATATTTTTAAAGAATTATGAACTCTTTGATAATTATCTATACATTTTAAAAAATCTTTTCTTGAAAGATTATTATTATGTAAATTGATAGATAATTTTTTTAAATTTGCTTTACAATTATTAGTAAAATATTCGAAATAGTTAAGTAAATTGATACCATAGAAATCAAAATTAAATGATAAATTTTCAACAGACTTTAAATAATCTCCCAAGGATTTTAGTAATACTTGATTATCAACTTCAATTTCAACTAGTATATCTAGAGTTTTTAATGGTGTTAAATCACAAATTAATGGAATTATTAAATGATATAATGATCCTGATAATCTTAAGATATTGATATTTGGACAAGATTTTCTCATTATTTTAACTGTTTCAATAGTAGCAACATTTGAATATAATTCAACCAATGCTTCGCCACAAAGTGAATTAATCATTACAATAACTTGTAATAGATCATAATTATCAGTATTATGTAACCATGTTAATCCTTTAAGATGAAATTCTCTCTTAGACAAATCTTCACAATGTTTTATTGTAAAATTATTACAATAAAACATTTTAAGATATTCTAAATTTTTTAATTTTGATATCAATAAAAAATCAACCCCTTTAAAGCTTATTCTATCAAATGTTAACCTTTTTAAAGTTTTTGATCGAAATTTAGAGGTATATATGATAGTTTTAGATATATCTTCTATATTATGAGTTATAGTATAACAAATAGATAAATTATTTATAGGTTGTGATTTGATAATATCTAAAATTGGTAAAAGAATTTCATTTCTTATTTGTAATAACCATATTTTAAATCTAATGATTCCATTACAGACTTTAGATAATGTTCTCAAAAATTCAATTATATTCTGACTTTTTATAGAATAACTTATTATTTCCAATTTTAAAGATCTTAAATTTGTAATTCCTGGGTTATAAGTTGTAAAAGTGGAAATATTTGGTAAATCATAGCTTCCATAATCCATGAAAATGACGAATTCCTTTAAGTTTGATCTTGCTCTCATAAACATATGATATATAATATCAATCAACTTTTGAATTATAATGTCTTGTTGAAATGTAGGAAGTACTATTAATTCAAATTTAAGCCACTCTAATATACCTATTACACAATTACAATGATCAAATTTTTTTACAAATTTTTCATATTCAAATAAAGGAGGTTGATGAGAAATATTTATTCCATAAGGAATTAATGAAGAAATCTCATCCTCGTTAAGACACTTTAATAAGGTATTTATTAATAGAAAACCATTTATGCATGACCATTTAAAAGGATTCCTCCAAATTATGGGGATAGAATGTTTACAATAATATCTATTTACCAATAGACATTTATGTAAGGTACATCTATTTAGAAAGGAGAGTACATTATTAAAACATTCATCGGGTAATGAAGGTAAAGGCATCTTGAAAGAGAATAGAATTTTTTCGAAATAAAAAATTGTAAAAAAAAATTATTCGGTTTATTTAAAAATTACCCCTTTTTTATACTATTTTTAAGGTGGCACCAAAGTTTATCCTTTATCAGATAAAATTATATCATATATCATATGATTATAGCTTAATAAATCTATAAAACACATGTATTATAAACTGAATTATGTAATATAACATGTAATTTATTAACGGAGTTTAGCACAATTTGATCCTCTATAACTCTAATAGGCTTGGAAAGAGTTTTACAGACGGTAATATACTTGCCGCCCATTTAAATGGGATGGGAGTCCCATCCCATCCCATCCCATTCCATCCCAAATCCCAAATCCCATTCCCATTCCAATCCCAAATCCCAATCCCAATCCCATCCCAAATCCCAAATCCCATCCCAAATCCCATTTCCTATAATTTCAGACAAATTTTATAATTCCGGCCAAATTTTCCTTTTTGGGCACTTGAGTAACGTTACACAATCCAAAAAAGGCAATTTTGATTCTCATCAAAAACGGGGAAATGAGTTACACAATAATCCAAAAAAGGATATTTTATGTCGATCACTTAATTCCGGCCAAAATTAAAAATTACGTGACTCCGGCGATAAATAGCAAACTCCTTTTTTATTAACATAAAATTTTTTCAAATATAATACTCTTTAATCTAAGAATTGATTAATTACAGATTATATGATAATAATATGAATGCTTAATAGGTTAATACTTTACAAATAATTAAATATACAAAAAATTATAAATAAATCTCTTTAAAGATATTATATCTTATACTGTATATGCTAATAATTTAAATTTAAATTAAAAAAATTAGAAAATTAAATCCATTTTTATTGAATACCAAGCCATTTTAATTAAATACTAAGCATTTGATGTTAATGAATTATTATTTATTATTTTATAGATAAATTTTTTATTATTTTAATAGATAGGTTAAAATAAAGTTAAAATATTACATTTTTGTTATAAAAAATTTATAATTTTGTAATGTTTTTTTTATAATAAAAAGGCAAATGCAACAATAAAAAATTAATTCCAAATATTTCTTATTTAATTGATATTACAGGACCTCAGACATCTATTATAGAATTCATAATGGCTTTTTGCAAAAATTAACCTAATCTGCTCTTTTTTTTTATTATTTCTTGCAAGAAATATTTTTATTTTATAGAGCTTAATATTAGCTACAAATTAAAAAAAAGTTTATCAAAATTGGATCACTGGATATTGAGAAAATCGCAAAAAACTAATTTGAAAAAGGACCGTAATACTAGAGCTGTAATTCTGGCCGGAATTATATGATCGGCATAAAAATTCCTTTTTCGGAATGCTTGTGAAACCAAATCTCCCGTGGGAAGAAAAATTTCCTTTTTTGGAATTTTGTGTAACATCACGTGATAGATAGACCAATGGGAGTAAGGTTACACAATATACATGTATAAGATTAATGGGATATGGGATGGGATATGGGATATGGGATTGGAATGGGATTGGGATTTGGGATTGGAATGGGATTATGACAAATGGGATGGGATAAATGGGATATGGGATGGGATATGGGTGGGATGGGATATGGGATTCTCCCAATCCCATTTATATGGGCGGCAAGTATAGACGGTAATTTATATTAATTTTGTTTAATAATCAATTTAAAAACTCAGCGCACTATTTTGTAATTCACAAATTGAAACTCAACGGACATATTTTTATAATAATAATCGTTGTAATTAATTTCGGTCGATTATGAAATTTTGGTACTGATTTCTTAATTGATTTATCGCTTTTTCATACTGTTTTACAAAGTTTCCATTCTTCATCTAACCAAAATTCTACTACATAAAATTTTAATATAAAAACACAAAATCGGATTTTTTTTTGTTATTCCTAATAAATTCTGTTCGATATCATTATTTTCTCCCTTATTTCTAATATTGAATAAAAAAAAATTATGAAATATATGTATAATATTGAATCTTATGTTTACTAATAATTGAAAAACCTTATTCCTTCTTCTTCGGTACTAAATATTTGTTTGTATAAATCAATAACCATTTCTTTTTAGATTAGCTTCACATTTACTAGAAAGATATTCAAAACCAACGCAACAAAATATTGATAACAAAAATTCAATGGATAATAAATGATCATTAGTAATTTTTTCCAACTTTAATATGTAAAGTTTTTACTAATAACAAGTGTAATGATTGAACATGAAATTTTTCTCTATGAAAATGACTTTTAATTTTAAAATTATATTTGGTAAAGGATCTTTTACTATTTTGACTAATTAACTATTGTAGTAACTTGTGATATGTACCGTTTACTTTATTATTAATATATTTGGTGATATTAATGATAAACAAATCTTTATTATCATTTTTAACTCTAAAGATTTATATTATAATTTGCCTTGAGGATATAATTCTTGAATTATCAAAAATCTTTCATATTGAATTTTGTGTGGAAAATATAGAATCTGAAAATTCAAAATCCTTTCATTGGTGTCAAAAAGCAGCAGAAATTTAGTTTCGAAGATAAATTACAATGTTAATATACTGTAAGTGCTATTTATTTCTCTCACAAAAAATTTGAGAAAAAATAAATTTAAACACGATAATTCTTATTATTCTAATTCTTTGAGAATTCTTGAACTTTGTAATTTGTGCTTTAGTTATTCAAACAATTTCGATTCTTATTAATCTAGCGGAATTAAAAATTTGTTTTTATAGTTTGTTTAAAATGAAAATAATATATTTTACCAAAAAAATTGGCTGTAAATCATCATCATCCTTATTCATTTAATTGATGAATGGAAAATTTCTAATTTGGAAATTGAAACTTTCTCAATATGAAAGAAATGAAAAAAATCTCTAAATTTTTTTTTAAAAAAGTAAACGTTTATTATATTTATATTATTCTAAACAACAATATAAATGTAAACTTTGTAATGATACTTTTTTGATAAATTAGAATACTCTTTCTTCCATCTTATAATAAAACATTTTAAAAAAAATTCCAAATATGTTGTTGGAATGATTGTGATAGGAATCATTTATTCAATTTTATTCAAATAACGTAAAAAAAAATTTTATTTATCATGATTTTCTTTCTATGAAAAAAGTTGTATATATTCTAATAATAGAACCGAAAATAATTGTGACTTATAATACTTTTAATTGAAAATATTAATACAAATTATAGTATTTTTTCAATATACCTTCAGGACTAGGGAGTTTATCTTCGTTATCTTCGAATGGAAGTTTGAGAGTCATCTGACCATCAAAATAATAAAAAAATTAATTTTAAGACTAAAGTTAAAAAAAAAATCATAATATTTTTTTTGATAATCTCTTATCAGATTTATTTTTTATGGAAAAAAATTTTTCTTAAATCTTGCAAAAAAATAATAAATTGACGTTTTATATGTAAATTACTGCGGACTTCCCTAGCGTAACCTGAAAAAAATGTCCCGAAATGGCCGGCATTACGCAACTTGACTGAAATTAAGTGTGGCGCACTTGTACTTGTGACGAATAAGATGTGACGAATAAGTTTTTACCTACTCGAAAAAAACAAGTCCCTCAGATACTTATAGAAAATGGAAACGCAGTGGGGTGTGACGGTTGTGACAAAAAAAGTCACGTGATTTTTCGTGACATTTTTTTCAGGTTACGCTGGGAAAGTCATTACTGCGGTACTGCGGTACCATGGCTGTAGGTATTGACTTTTTTGTTTGGTAATACTAAAAATCACGCTGTACGTTGTGCGACTATTCGGAGAAAAAAAATTTATATAATAGGCATACACAATAAAACTTTAACAATTTTTGCTTTTCATTTTTTTTTAACTTTCTGTTAGCTTATTATTATTCAATACGTTCGATAATATCAAAATGCAAGATACCGAAAATACAAATAATACAAATGAATGGGTTAATTGGATTGAAGAAGCTGTTGATAAAGAACATTTAAAATTTTATGAATATGAAGATTTTAATAATATTCAACATATTGGTACTGGAGCTTTCGGAAACGTATATCGTGCAAATTGGAAAAATTCAGGAAAACTAGTTGCATTAAAATCGTTTATTAGTCTTAATAACCTCACCATGAAAGAAATCGTTCGTGAGGTATTTTAATGCAGTATAATACATTTTTTTTCGTCAATGAATTTTTATCTAATATATTTATTTCAAATATTTTATTTTTTATTCAGTTAAAAATTCAACGCAAAGTTGATTTCCATGATAACATTATTAGTTGCTATGGAATAACAAAACTTGAGTCAGGTATTATTAACATCACCTTGATAAATATAATATTCTTTAATCGCAAATTTTACAAAAGTTCATTTAGTAATTACTTCTTTTATTCATTAGAAAATCATAATAATTATCGGTTAGTATTGGAATACGCCGACGGTGGTACTCTTCGAAGTTATTTAAAGAAAAATTTTAACAAGCTTACTTGGGATGACAAATATAATATGGCATACCAGTTATCTTGTGCCGTATCATGCTTACATAACGAAAGAATAGTGCATCGTGATTTGGTAATTTTATTTAACCTTATTTAACCATTAATCATAATGTATTTGTATTTTTAATTTTAAAAAAATTTTGAATATATATATATGTTTCTTTAATAGCACTCCTGTAATATACTAGTCCGTAATAACACAATCAAATTAGCAGATTTTGGATTATCTAAAAGAATTGGAACATCATCTAATATTCAATCTAAATTATTTGGTGTGATTCCTTATGTCGATCCAAAAAGCTTTAGTAGACGAAAAAAAAATAATAATCAATCAACACAAATGTACTAATTAAATGAAAAAAGTGATATTTATAGTATAGGCGTATTATTTTGGGAAATATCTAGTGGGCAGCCTCCTTTTTATGTTGAGGATGAAGAATATGATNAGTAATATTTTAATTTTTAAATTTTATATTCTAAATATTATTAATTCTAAATTATGTTTGGTTTTAGAGTGTTGGGATGGGGAACCAGATAATCGTCCAACTATATATCAAGTAGTTGATTGGCTAAATGAAATAACTACAAAATCAGATGTAATAGTAGATAACCATCAAATGTCAAATGAACAAGAAAATGATTTTTTTATAAGTACTAATAATTTAGAATTACGAGATTTATCTCAACCTTTTCAAAATTTTGATAAAATGAATACTAAAGAAATTGATTCTATGGCAATATCAAGTAAACAAGAAAATCTTTCAACTGAAAAGGATTTTAATATTATAGTTGATGAAATAAATGATTTAATTTATAAATTAGGAAATAAAGGAATCAATTGGAAATTAGAAAAGCAGCAAGTTATTGAATATTTTAATAATCATAATTTAAATTCACAAGAATTTTATAATTGGTTATTAAATAATCAAAATAGTTCAAATTCTATTTTTATACTTGGATATTTAAATTATAATGGAATTATAACAAGTGAAAATAATGATAAAGCATTTAATTTGTTTATTAATGCATCAGAAAAAAATCATACATTAGCACAAAATTTTGTTGGTTTGTGTTATGATCATGGATATGGAACTATAAAAAATGAAAAATTAGCTTTTGAATATTATGAAAAAGCTGCAAATAATGGAAATATAGGTGCAGTGTATAATCTTGGTATTTCATATGAAAATGGAGAGGGTATTGAAAAAGATTATAATAAAGCTTTTGAATTGTTTAAACAATCAGCTGAAGCAGGACATATAATTGGATTAATGATGTTGGGATATTGTTATGATGAAGGTATTGGAACTAAAATTGATAAACAAAAAGCATTTGAATTATATCAAAATGCTGCAAATTTGGGAAATTATATGGCACAAAATAATCTTGCTTTAATGTATGAAGAAGGAGATGGAATTGCAAAAGATATAGATAAAGCGATTTATTGGTATGAAAAATCTGCCAAACAAGGAAATGAAAAAGCAAAAAATAATTTAAAAATACTTCGAATAAAATAAGTTTTTTAATAAACTTTTCTCATTCAAATTTTAAAATTTTAGATCATTAGTTTACAGTATTTATTTTTATAAAAATTTACAAAATAGTAAATACATTGCCCTAAAATAATGATAGTTAAAATTTTTACCTATTTTATTATATATACTTTCTTTTATAATTTAAACATAATTGTAAGAAGACATTTTTGATCTAACATACCTATTAATAATGGAAGCACATTGAGACTTATCACGAACCTTCAATTTTTCAACAGATTTTCTTTTTGTTAACTACAAAAAATTATAGCCAATGAAAAAAATGAATAAATTTGGCAAGAAATTTATTAATCAGAATTTTTTTATTTATAATATAATAATTGAAATACTTTATTTATTATTATCTATAAATTACCCTGATTTTTCTATTCCATCTATTATACAATATATAGTCTTTTTTTTTCAATAGGATCCATTTGATAGTTTTTTTTTTTTTGATAACTGAAGGCCCATATGAAAAAATGAACACTACATTTCTTTAAAACCCTTATGAGTATTATTTTTACTAAGACCTTTTTAACCAAAATTTTTAATGATCGTATCTTTTTTTTCAAAATTAGAATTTACAAAATCATCATAACTCTAAATTAATGCAACTATAACTAATTATAGTGAGATATTGAGAAATTTTTTTACAAAAGAAGAATAAAGACATGAATATTTGAATTTATAAAAATTCTTTTTAGAGAAAATAAATTAAAAATAGGAAACGATTTCCAATTTTATTTGAATTTTTTGAGTCAACTTTTTTTTATTATGAAAGAAATTAAAAATGGTATGTGATTTCATAATGATGTAGTTAGCCAAAAAACAGGGCCTAATTCCTGATTGCTGATCATTCGGACCCGGTTTAATCGCAGAAAATCCCTTGGAATTTCAAGACTAAGGTTGCCTGCCTAAACCTCTCCAAAATCCTACGATTCATTTCTCCAAGATTTTACTATAGTTTTATTATAGTTTTGGCAAGATTTCAGCAGTTTTGGCATTTATAATAAGTTTCGTCAGGTTTCGCTTTTCTCCAGAGTTTCGCCAACTTTTTAATAAGACTTTCATATAGTTTCAGCAAAGTTTCGCTATTTCGGCATTTTGCCAACTTGCCAAAACCCCCAAGTTTCTCCAGCAACCTTATCCATAATAATCTACGCCTGAGCCAGGTCTGGATCACGTTGCGGCTAGTTATTTTTTGACTAACTACACTATGGTAATAAACCTTTTCTAAAGGAAAAAATTCATCTATACTAATAACTATTAAATCTAATCCCAATTTCTCATTTCAATGTATTTTATCAATTCCTCATAATAAATCTCCTGTTGCTCCTGTTGCATGTTTTAAATAATCCTGACTTTGTTAAAACCTTTACAAAGATCATAAATACCATTTTTGATATTTTTGACAATTTATTTGACCTGGGCTAATATCAAATCTCACCCATGGTGAGAAATAATTTTTTTTAAAAAAAAGTTAATCCCTAATAACCCCCCCAAAAAAATAATT